AAGGATATAACATTGATAACATATCTTCAAAAGCTGATGCCGTAAGAAGAACAACGGACCAACATCATGGCACAATGGTAGTAACCCATAAGTGCTCCGTTCTTCTTCTAACTCAAGTCTGAGTCCGAAGAAGCTCAGCACAGTGCACAAGCTCTGTAGCACCAGCGAGGATCATGAAATACTTTGGGTAGATTTTAAACTCCAAATTTTGTCCGGGCAGAACTGTAAGGCTACTCTTTACAATTTCCAACAGCCAAGGGATTGTTCACAGTACCAGGTACCCACTCAAGGCTGGGTTGACCTGGGAACCGAGTTCATTATTTTAAAAAAGTCCAGCCCCTGTCAGGACTAGAACCCATAACCTTCCGATCCGCAGGCGTGTTTAGCCGCTAGACCACAGCGGCTTCCAAAAAATATTGAGTGCCATAAATATCCATTGCTGCAATAAAACTCTCCATTATTATAGGTTAAAAAGATTCCTGTTGTTTGAATCACTAGTACTTCTTTTACATCTCAGAGATGATATTTATGTCAACAAAGACAACATATACATAATAAAACATGTTTATTATTCTAGATTGTTGTAGATAAATTTTGAGTATCCAAAGGACAGACAAGCAATCAGAAAAACAGGCAAACGGCAGTTATAAAGTAGAATAATTTATGAAAAGAATACATCATTTTGATTACAAAGTGGCTTTAGGCACAGATCTACAACTAGAATGTGATCGGGGGGAAACATTTCTGGAAACAAGTGTCTACATTCAGTCATCTTTACATGTGGATAATTTCTATATATGTATATATGAATGTATAATTATTGTACACATCTGTCATATAAAGATTTATATGTCATTTAAAAATTATTCACAAATAAGAATAATAATTATGTAAAGTTGTACACACTCACATATACTAGGTCAGAGATTTATGGCATAGAATGATGAGGCAACTCCACTTTTATGTTCTTGTTTTGATAAGTCAGCCTGGTTATAAATACTCTCCTCTTTGTTATCGTTGTGTAGTTCATTATTTGTCTGAGAAAGGCCACTGGCCGAAACGTTCTTTTGTGCACGTTTTTCTCCTTCCCCGTTTTGTTAGGCTTATTAGTCACATTTCACTGGAATTCCTAGGACTTTACCTAGTACCCATTTGAAGCTGAGTTTACCTGGGAGCCAAGATCATTTAAAAAAAAAAAAAGGCTCTGTCAGAAACTGAACCCATGACTTTTGCATCGGCAGGGGAGTGTCTAGCTGTTACACCATAGCGGCTCTAATACATACATTAGTATGGGAATAAAACTAGCACTGATATTCAATGATACTCAATGGCCTTATACAATATTTTTTGAAATAACAATGTGCATGTACACACATAGAGATATATAAATATGTTTACAAGAAAAATTGTATACAGCAACAATAGAGGACAGTAACGAAACATCAACTAATTTCTCACAAAACAGTGCAAGTAAATACTCATAGTCAAACTACTGACATGCAGACTTGTGTAGTTATGGAATGTTGTAGACTAGCAAGTTATCTGAGAGAAAATGTACCTGCAGGATAAAAAGGCTAAATGCCGCTGTTAAATGAGGAGTGTTCATCATCAGACACAAGCCAGACTGTCATGTGACAGTTCAACAAGGTGAACTCAGGGTCAGACACTAGCTAGACTGTCATGTGACAGTTCAGCAAGGTGAACTTAGGGTCAGACACAGGCAGGACTGTCATGTGACAGTTCAACAAGGTGAACTTAGGGTCAGACACAGGCAGGACTGCCATGTGACAGTTCAACAAGGTGAACTTAGGGTCAGACACAAGCAGGACTGTCATGTGACAGTTCAACAAGGTGAACTTAGGGTCAGACACAAGCAGGACTGTCATGTGACAGTTCAACAAGGTGAACTTAGGGTCAGACACAAGCAGGACTGTCATGTGACAGTTCAACAAGGTGAACTTAGGGTCAGACACAGGCAGGACTGTCATGTGACAGTTCAACAAGGTAAACTTAGGGTCAGACACAAGCAGGACTGTCATGTGACAGTTCAACAAGGTGAACTTAGGGTCAGACACTAGCCAGACTGTCATGTGACAGTTCAACAAGGTGAACTTAGGGTCAGACACAGGCAGGACTGTCATGTGACAGTTCAACAAGGTGAACTTAGGGTCAGACACAGGCAGGACTGTCATGTGACAGTTCAACAAGATGAAATCACTGACAGACACCAGAAGGATTGATATGTGACAGTTCAACAAGATGAAATCACTGACAGACACCAGAAGGATTGACATGTGACAGTTCAACAAGATGAAATCACTGACAAACACCAGCACCTGTAATGTGACTCAGTAAAAGAGATGAACACACAGCCACACACCACAGCAGTTACATGTGACACAGGTCATCAATGCAATGTCAATCTGTTGAATGCCGAATTCAGAATCAACATGACAAGGCATTCCCATAAGCACTCCACCCTCATCTTCAGCAGCAAGCAAAGAGTTCCAATTGCAATGGCACAAATAAGATAGATACCAGATTGTATAATATCAGTCTCGCCTTTCTGTTGAGTGTTAGCCAGATCCCTGGTAACTCCTCCCAGCATCTTTCTCGCAGACCGTGATGATCTCTATGTGATTTTGCAAAAGTTTATTCACTCCCAAAGTACCCTTATATAATCTAGCTTGTTAGTCTACCATCAAATTGTGTATGTTTTTTTCTAACATACCTGCATTACCTGAAAAAAAAAAAAAACATTCAAAGAATGCTAGCTGCGCAAGACCTCTGAAGCAATGCTTGCCACTCTGCACAGAGCATGTCTATCTCCACCTTTCTCAACAGTGAATTAGCTGACAGACAACAGCAGAACATAAGACATGACACACCCACAGTAGTAACTGGCGTTTGGGTCATGGGTTCAAAAACAGGTCACAATAAACATTTAATTAAAGCTAAGAGATGTATGTAACACAGCTAATTCTCTGACCCTTTCATAATTAATGATTACTACCATTATTTTGTATGCTATTAAATATTGTTTTGGTCCATAAATGGAACTGTTATGATTGTTGTGTGATCTGTGTGAGATGGATAAAAAAAAAAAAAAAAGAATATTTGAAACACACAATTGCACAAATAAGAGATCTATGGCATTTTTCACCCCGAGGTCACTGGGGTGAAAGGATAAAGAATGACAAAATGAGGAGAAATAAAAGCAACAACTGTGTGATCTGCTTCTTTTTCTGTTGTCGTCTCACTGATACCAGGTTGTGTCCTGGTTTTCTGTATTTGTCTTGCCCTTCTCGGGTGGCTTGGGTGATGGATTTGTTCAGCTTTTTTGCAGGTTTCAACCACACCATTTATCCATTTCTTTCTTGTTCTTCCTCTTGCCATCCTGCCAGATGTTCTGCTGTAAGTCTCATGTGCAGTTTGGCCTGGCTGCATTCTCACTAGATGGCCTAACACAGTGTTATTCCAACTTTCTGTTTCATGCTGGTATGCGTAACCCTGTTTCTTGTTTTGTTGTTAGTGATCTTACCAAGACAGAGCATCATACAGGTAGTTATTTTCTGTTCTAGTGACCTACTTACTGTCCATGTCTGGCACTGAAAACATAAAGAAGGGATAAACTGTGTGATCCAGAGATTTCAACTGTGTGTGTTCTTACAGGACCTTGTGGTGCTGTTTCTTGACATTGTAGGAATGGAACAACACTGACAGATTGATCAATCAAGGCAATGGATGTGTTGAATATACAATAACCCAAGGTTTCAGCCCACACTTTCCTGTTTTCAGAGACTGAGCACTTATGAGCTTATTTTAAGTGCAGTAACATGGCTTCTTCATTATGAATGACAAAATCCACAGCCAAGGGTCCGACAGATGTGACAGTAACAATTACAACAAAGAACAAATGAATCAAATGACAAAAGTAAAATTTGATAAAACATGCAGTGTTTAAATGTAGTTGAAACAACACAATTAGAAAAATACGTTTATAGTGTTTAAAAATGACAGGAAATGTAAGTAGAATAATGAAATAGTTGATCTTGTGCTGAGTTAGAGGGCAAGCTATTCTGGAAGCTGTCTGCAGAGTAAATAAGATGCAGAAATGGGCAACTAAAAAATATTGCCTTTTTAGTGGATACTGGGTAATGAGATCCTCATTTAGACTGTTCAATGACAGCTTTGTCTTATTAATCAGATCCTTTAGAGAAGATGAATACTTGTATGTCAGATCTTTCAACAGACCCTATCTACGTCTACCAGTCCATCACTGTTTTAGCATCATGTTCACCAATAGTATTTTAGTATCTTGTCTACTAATGTTTTAGTATCATGCCCACGACTGTTTTAGTTTCGTGTTACTCTCATGTATTATTGTGTATCATTTTATGTTGGGGAGGGGGGGGGGGGGGGGGGGGGGGGGGATGTTGGGGGAGGGGGGGGGGGGGGGGGGGGGGGGGGCGGGGGGGGTGGGGGGGGGGGGGGGGGAGGGGGGGGGGGGGGGGGGGGGGGGGGGGGGTGGAAGTGGCATGTCTTTCAGGCTGAAAATCACTGCAGAAAAACACACACACAAAAAAACATGATGAAGGCATCTATCCATCCATCCATTTATGAAATACAAACAATAAATCGACTTTGTTCTACCTACTTAGAGCAGTATCAGTTATAATTGCGTTCTGGTTTTTCGATGCCAATTATGTTGGCTAAGAAATGTTAATTACGCCAAAACTGGTTGCTTGGACCGGTACTCCATCAAACAAATGTGGTGAACATTCCGCTTTGAGAGAACCAACAAGACAGCTATGACAATAAATTAACAAATAGCAAACATGCTGCATGTACGATACTGGGCGGAATTAGTGGTACAATTTTGGTATAACTTTGTCAAGATGGATATGGTATATGAGTCAGAATAAGGTCGTATGATTGTCTTAAAACTGTGCCGACACAGAGAGAGTTCAGGTCCGTCAGACGAAAGATGTATGATTGTCTTAAAACTGTGCCGGCATGGACATTGGTACTGGATTCTGGAGAAGTCCATAACGTTGTTTCTGCTTCCTCTGTTCTGTCATCTGAAGAGAGCAAACAAAGACATTCATCAATTAATGTTAATTTTTTTAGGGCTGCTGCTGTTTGTCAGTAGTATGAATTACACATGTGTCAGTTATCAAAGTGACTGCCATGGAACTTACTGTCATAACTATCTGGCAAGTAATGCACCAATGCATACAAGAAGAAGCACTGACAGTCAATGCTGTATGGACAATAATGAATCTTTGATGCTAATGCAACTGCATGACCTTGGAGTAAAGCATGGTGAAATACATCTATGCTGTCTTTGAGGCCAGGACATGAGACCTACCACTCAATTCTCATAGGAACAATCAGCACAGGTACCCTGGAGGTAGTGGCATTGGAGGACTGAGCACACAATGGTATGCCTTACGTACAGTGACATCAAATGAGAAAACATAACATAGCACTGCTATAACAATTATGGCTATATAACTATCTGCCCACAATTAATGGCAGCAATGCACAAGTAGATAGATGCCCAACAGTCACTTATGCAGTGGCCGAGACCATAAACATAGACTGACCATGGAGGTGATGGCAGTAACAGAAGCAATGCCCTGGCTAGAGACATAGATTTTTCCCATGAATACTTTCTGATTCCATGAACATGCTTATGAAGATCAAGAATGGATGGGTTTCAAGACAGTGGCTGGAGTCTCTGAGGAAATCTCTCACCTTTCAGGAGTTAGTTTGAATTTTTGTGACAGAACATTTTGGGGTAAGAGGGAATGAATGAGACAGTTGGAAAGGCCATGGTAGATACAAGAAAACCAATGGACCAGGCTGATATTCTCAATGAGGCAGGATTTGTAGATGATTCAGGAGATGTCGGTGAATAAGCACTTTTGAGAAGACTATAAGAACCATGTCAAAAGAGGAGTTACCAGACATGAATACTATTTAGGCAGCCAAAAAAGAATAGTAAACCAATATTGGAAATGGTGTTATCTGTTGCCACATGCTGAGAGAGATACTGTAAGCTGGGATCCGATCGCTTTTGTACTTGTCCAATGTGTGGATGATCAGTTAATTAACTAACTAAAAACACAATACAAAAACCTGGCTTATAATATCACAACATCTAGTTTGAGAATAGAGCCTGAGGCAGTCATTGAACATTCAGAATACAATACAAGACAGCACTGGCTTCCCCACAGGTTGAACAATGAACTTCCAGTTTTCTAAATGAAACATAAAACTAACTGTCATGTTTTGTTGGGGACTGAAGGATTACATTTTACCTTTAGGGACTGAAGCCACTACCTCATAGAACAGATTTTGCAGAGGCATTAGGTTTGCTAAATTTTTTGGGCAAGATACTGGCAAATAAGTAATTTGGTTATCTCTACTTGATGCTACCCTAAATAAATCATATGGTATTATCTCCACTTGATTCATTTATATGAACTAGACAGAATTATCTCCACTTGTTTCTCCTAAACACATATTCTAGGGACAACTTCTGAGTTTCAACAGGTAGCACCATATACCTGTTCTTTCAGCTCCGAAAGCTGACCAGACAGTTTCTGCACAAGTTTGGTTGTCTGGTCAAGCTGCTGCTGGAGGCTGCGGATCTCATTCTGCTCCCCTTCGCTGTCCTGTGCTGCTAAAGACATGGCCCGCATGCGAGGGAACCACTCCAAGTTTCTCTCCTACAAGGGATTCAAAAACATTTTTAGCAGTAACAATTTCAGAATGGTATCAATATCACATTTTCCCTTTTAATTTCTAGTGGAGATTTTGCACCACTATCAATCACAGCCCACAATTGCACCCAAAGCATCCTTTTCCAGTAATTATTCACAGCGCCATATTTTGAATATAATGTTTTCCCCCACTAACTATTACAGACAATAATGACACCTACTTTAATTATAATGTTTTCCTCCACCAACTATCAAAGACAATAATGACACCTACTTTAATTATAATGTTTTCCTCCACCAACTATTACAGACAATAATGACACCTAATTTATTTATAATGTTTTCCTCCACCAACTATCACAGACAATAATGACACCTACTTTAATTACAGTGTTTTCCACCACCAACTATCAGCAAATAATGACACCTACTTTAATTACAGCATTTTCTACCACCAACGCTAACAGCAAATAATGACACCTACTTTAATTACAGCATTTCCAAACACAAAAGCTAACAGCAAATAATGACACCTACTTTAATTACAGCATTTCCCACCACCAAAGCTAACAGCGAATAATGACACCTACTTTAATTACAGCATTTCCCACCACCAAAGCTGACAGCAAATAATGACACCAACTTTAATTACAGAATTTCCCAACACCAAAGCTAACAGCAAATAATGACACCAACTTTAATTACAGCATTTCACACCACCAAAGCTAACAGCAAATAATTACACCTACTTTAATTACAACATTCCCCACCACCAATGACCACAAAAAACAATGACACCTACTTCAATTATAGTATTTTAAACCAGTACCTGCCACCTACAGCCAATAATGACACCTACTTTAATCATAGCGTCGACGTAGCTCTCAGGTCCGGTAAACTCCGTTGGGTCCTTCACTCGAACCAGGACAATAAAGTACAGATAATGCCACATGTTGTGTTCATGTTTCACATGGTCTTCAAAGGTCACGACGCGATTGTCAAAAGTGGCTCGGTCCAGGCCTGAAACAGTACGCACAGAAGATGTGCTTCTTTAGAGATGATCAGATGGATGCAATATTACAGTAAAACATGAACACACTTAAGATGAAAGCTAGAGAAATTATAATCTCAGATGAGATGTATTACCTATAAGATTTCTTTTTGTGGGTGGGTCTGGGGGATAGGGGTGGGGTGGGTTTGGGGGATAGGGGTGGGGTGGGGTTGGGGTCAGGGAAGATGTCTGGGTTCCCCATCTCTTGGGGTCGGGGAAGATGTCTGGGTTCCCCATCTCTTCCCCCAGGGGTTTTGGAGTTTCTTTGGGTGAAAGGGCTGAAAGACATATGGTCCTATATCTTCTCATATTTATTTTCCCCTTCCAATTTGGATCTATCATGAGGCACTTTATGTTTTTCCCTAAGACATGTATTCAAAATGTTGACTGATTACTTCTGACATGAGCAAAGAGATTGCCCACATCAGGAAGAGAAAATCTACAATTTTTGGTCATATGAAGAAAAGGAGAACAGTTGAGTACATAGTGACAACAGGAAAGTTGGAAAGGAGGAGATGCAGAGGGAGACCTTGAGAAAAGATGCTGGACAGTCTGACATCAAGGCACGGAGGATCATCTGTGTCTGAGCTGACTGAAAATACACAAGACAGAAGGTAGTGGACAGACATGACTACCAACGCCACATGGCGTGGACTTTGAGAAGAAGACATGAGCAAGCAGTTCTATTCATGAGATGATTTCCCTAAATAAAGAAAAAATCTACTGCTCCCCTAAAAAACATGCAAAAAGCAATTCGTTAGGCATGTTTTTCCTTCAAAATTGGGGTGCATCTGCCTGAGATGCAAAGAACCAACAGACTGCATACATGTAAGCCAGATCTGTAAAGCGGATGTGCATGCAAAACTATGTTATGGATCAAAACCAAAATCCAGAGGTTTATGAACAACCATAACTTTCTGTCGGCGTCTAGTCAGTGAACATGCAAAAAAAGAACTAGATACTTCTGATTTGAGCACGCAGTTCTATAGAAGAGGTGATGTTCCCCCATACACAAAAAATCACTTACCACAGATGAAGCAGGTGTTTCTCAGGATCTCATCCTTGGTTTGTTTCTCGCTCCTCAGATCAGCAAAAGTATCGATGATGACACCAAAGATGAGATTCAAGACAATAATAATGACAATGAAGAAGAAGAGGAGATCGTAGACCACCCGAGCTAGAAACAATGGTTCCTGAAACAGATAGAGACAACACCAAATTAATAATCTCTCTCTCTCAATATATATAAATATATCTATATGGTTGGAATAAACAAGGCACGCAAAGAGAGGGATCATGATGTATGAGCAACACACAATCTCTACAATACTGACCAGGCTTCATGCTATGGAAAGGAGAGGAGACTTCAACTCCGGCCTTAATTATTCTCGGAAACACATTGAGAGGCTGCAGTAACTTGCCATCGCCAGGGGCTGTGGTATCCATGTATCCATGCCTATGCATAGCACAATATTACACTAGCATCTTAGAAGACGAAAAGTTGCCAACAACTTATTTTGGCACTTCTCCGAAAATTATTGAGGTTAAAAACATAACCTAACAAGGCCTCAATGATATATAAAATTAGGATTTATTTCCTGCAAATATGGCAGGCAGGCCATCAGCTACGACACAGATTAGCAATACTGTTCTAGGGATGGATGATGTGGCAGCTGTAGATGTTCTTTGCCATAGGGTTGGGGTTAATTATATTTTATTCCCCAATTTTCAACAGTTATACCAGACTGAGGCACTGTTAGGGTATTTTTTAACCTCGATAATTTGGGACCGTTATTCACAGGAGTGCCCATATTTACATGAGGACATAAGTACAACATCATGATCATAATGTCAACACGTAGTGAAGACAATATCTTTATGTACTAATGACAGAGGACAAAAATGAAACATCACAATATAAACTTCTGGAATGTTCCAAAATAACAAGTGTCTTTTTGTAGGTAAAAACCGTCAAAATGGAATTCCCTACTAAAAAAAATTATGTTGCTCATTTTTAAATGGGCTATAACTATGAGTCATGTTTGGTCACGTTATGAGAAAAGGAAAACAGGAACTTGTTTTAACCATTAGAAAAATCTGTGGAAAGACAGAGGAAAACAGCGCGAGAAGATTCTTGATGGCTTTTGTTATGGCACTGAGGTGTGTCAACACACAAACTGATACATGCAATTGCGCATGGCAGATTGCAATAACCCATGACTGTCTACGCCAGGCACGTGATGATAACTGCAATGGGGGTTCAAATTAAAACCTTAAAAATGGACATAAATTACAATAACCATGCATTGTGTATGAGTGGAGTTTTAAAAAGGCGTGACATCTGGGTCCATGAGCCTGACCTGGTCCTGAACCGTCTGTCACAGAAGTCGTTTTAAAACTTTCTACACTTCACTCATGCACTTAACTGGACAGAGAAATTAGCTCGAGATGTGCCAAAGCTAATAAAGTAATGAGGTAACTATCTCCCCTGTTGACACACAAGAAGATAACTCATTGTACTAAAGTGAATCTATCAGAATTATTTTTTAGCCATCATTATGCTTTCAGTGCCAAACATCAATGTGTTCCTCAGCACCATGTTGTCATATCCTTAACACTCTTGACATCCTTAACACCAATACTGACAGGGTTACAAGATAACGGTGTGGTTACTGTAACATCTATCACGCTTCTCAGCTGTTCATTTCAAGCTTCCTCACAGAATGTCTTTGCTCGGGAACTCCCACAGCAAAAGAGACAGAAGACTCCAAAAGAAGACATGAAGAAGAGAATCACAGATGAATAATGTAGGGAAGACATACAGACAGGTGCCAAAGATGGGACAGTTGGTGTGTGGTGACTGATCTTCTCTTGACTCCAATCAGTCATGAAAGGTGAAACAAAAAATTAACAAAATTAAGAGAGAGAGAGAGAAGAGAGAGAGAGAGAGAGAGAGAGAGAGAGAGAGAGAGAGAGGGGGAGGGGAGAGAGAGAGAGAGAGGGGAGAGGGAGAGAGAGAGAGAGAGAGAAGAGAGAGAGAGGAGGGAGGGGAGAGAGAGAGGGAGAGAGAGAGAGAGGAGAGGAGAGAGAGAGGAGAGAGGAGAGAGAGAGGGAGCGATGAGAGAGGAGAGAGAGAGAGAGAGGAGAGAGAGAGAGAGAGAGAGAGAGAGAGGGGGAGGGGGGAGGGAGGGAGGATAGGAAGGGAGGGAGAGGGAGGGAGATGAAGAGGGAGAGAGAGAGGAAGGGAGGGAGGTAGGGAGAGAGAGAGGGGGAGGGAGAGAGAGAGAGAGAGGGGTGAGAGAGAGAGAGGGGGGGAGAGAGAGAGGGAGGGAGAGAGTAGAGAGAGAGAGCTAGAGAGAGAGAGAGATCAGAGAGAGAGAGAGAGAGAGAGGGGGGGAGGGAGGGAGGGGGGAGGGAGGGAGAGAGAGGAAGGGAGGGAGAGGGAGGGAGATGAAGAGGGAGAGAGAGAGGAAGGGAGGGAGGTAGGGAGAGAGAGAGGGGGAGGGAGAGAGGGGGAGAGAGAGGGAGAGAGAGAGAGAGAGAGAGAGAGAGAGAGAGAGAGAGAGAGAGAGAGAGAGAGAGAGAGAGAGAGAGAGAGAGAGAGAGAGAGAGAGAGAGAGAGAGAGAGAGAGAGAGAGAGAGAGAGCATATTATGCGATGGCAGGGATCCAGGATTACTGATTTAAGAATCAGCATCAAGGCACACCCAAAGATGTTGTATCTCAAGCAGCAAATGTCTTCAGGTGTAGATGCTGACTGTTTCAGTAGCACACTGGATGTACACATATTGTACTTTCCCTCAAATACTTCCTTCCGTGCTGGGTCCACACTTAATTCTAAATTCACAAATCCTTACACATGTTATTTCATGTAGTATTATATCTTTCCATCAATGTTTGTTCATAAATAGCCATTAGAATATCTCCCTTGTCCAAAACAAGTTCCTGTAGCTATCACTTTTGGTACCAAAAAAAGTTTACTAACATAGTAGGGAGAAAGAACAAAATCAATAAATCTGGGCAGGAGACAAGAATCACAGATGAGAATTCAAGACATTTAGAGAAGACAAGGAAAACAAGGTTGGGAAATGCAAGCTAATCAGGCAAGAGAAAAAACATCAAGGAATGCACAAGCCAATTAGGAATGAGAAAATAACACATGGGAATGTACAACCAATCAGAGAAGAGAAAAGAACAAGAATGTACAACCAATCCTGGAAGATATAAGACACAAGAATGTACAACCAATCAGGGAAGAGAAAAGAAACAAGAATGTCCAACCAACCAGGGAAGAGAAAAGACACAAGAATGTACAACCAACCAGGGTCGAGAAAAGACACAAGAATGTACAACCAATCAGGAAAGAGAAAAGACAAGAATGTACAACCAATCAGGGTCTAGAAAAGACACAAGAATGTACAACCAATCAGGGTCTAGAAAAGACACAAGAATGTACAACCAATCAGGGTCTAGAAAAGACACAAGAATGTACAACCAATCAGTGTCGAGAAAAGACACAAAAATGTACAACCAATCAGGGAAGAGAAAAGACACAAGAATGTACAACCAATCAGGGAATAGAAAAGACACAAAAATATCCAACCACTGAGGAGCACTCACATTTTTGCTTGGCTTGCGGAGAACATCCCCAATGCCTCCTCCATTTCTCAACCCCTGGTTGATGCTGGTGATGATGCACATGATCAGAGAGTCACAGGCTCGCATCTTCTCTCCTTCTTCTGGCTCTTCAGAGTAAGGCCCTGGTCACACAAATTAACTCTTTAACTCTTAGATTTTGTGTCTGCACATCAAGTCTTCACACAACGAATTCAGAGTCAGTTCATGAGTCAAGAACAATTGTACATATCAACAAGCATAATGAGAATCTCACACAAAGCTGCAACAATTATTGACCGTACTCTGTAACTCATGTTGTTGTGAACACAGCAGGAGCTCATATCGTAGTAAGTAAAGTAAAGAGTCCTTCTCCATGCCTTCAGGCATGTTGGGCACATAGGGCTAGACTTATATTTTACAGAACATCGGCACTTGGTGGGTGGTGTAGTCAACATCATGTTGGCCACTTTTACTTCCCAGAAGGCTGGGTCAACCTGGGGGCCAAAGTCATTTCCGAAGAAAGCCCGGTTTTGTCAGGACCCGAACCCAGGACCTTCCCATCTGCAACCTATCCTGTTATTTGAGTGTATATCTGCACATCTATATTGTGTGAAATTGTGTCAACATAAAATATAAAACTCAAAACCAGAACAATGTAAGACAATTCTTCATTCTAGATTAGGTGCATAGGCTAAAAATGACAGTGGGGTATCTCTTCTTCTTCTTTTTCCGCATTCCAAGCCCTTGAGGTTCACTGCTGCAGATATCACCCCCTTCCATTCATCTCTCTGGCTAGCCTTTTCTTTCCAGTTGGCAACACCAAGTGTTTGCAGGTCTCTCTAGACATTATCTCTCCACTGTATTCTTGGTCTGCCTCCTAGTCTACGACCATTCATCTCCCTAAAGTATACAGTTTTCACTTCTTTGTCATCTGACATTCTTTCAATATGCCGAAACCATTCAAGTCAATTAGCTCTCATGATGCCAGTGATCAATGATGATTGAAACAGATTATGAATTTCGTTGTTGCTTCTCACTCTCCATTCCCCACTGTTTGCATCTCTGATGGGTCAAAAAATTTGGCATAGGACTGTTTTCTAGAAACCCTAATAAGGTTTCATCTATTTTTGTTGTGTTCCACGTTTCAGAGCCACATAAAACGACTGGTCATCAACTTTTTATACATTTTGATTTTGATGTTGCGAGACAGACACGACCTTTCCCACCACGGCAAGGTGGAGACACTTTTGGCGAAGAGTAAGGCATCTCAGCTGTAGAAAATAGAAGACTAAACAAGATCATAAAGTACCATCGTCCTTAAGGCAGAAATTGTAAGTGTAAATTCAAAATATCTGACACAACCACAAGTGTAAACTCAATATACTAATGTAAAACACCAACTGTAAACTCAATATGTTTCTGTGACACTAGAAATGTTTGTTCAACATGCTGTAAACTCAATATTTGAGGTTTTAAACAACAGATTAACATCATGGCACAAGGGTAGTAACCCATATGTGCTCCGTTCTTCTTCTAACAATTTAGAGTTCCATATTTTTTTTAAGCCATTCAAAGCTGCTGTTACCTTGCCAATGTGTGTCATAATTTCTTATTTCTTATTTCCTTCATAATCAAAATTACTACCCAAATAGGTAAACTTATTTCTTATTTTAGTTACTTTTGTCTCTGGTGTTACATCTGCTTGATCTGTTGCTGGTGTCTTCAATATATTTGTCTTTTCATAACTTATATGTAGTCCAACCTTTGACACACACTATATTTGCTAAATCCTGTTTTCCTTTGTATGTCATCCCTGTTTTTATTTAGCAGAACAATATCATCAGAAAAAATCCAGATCTTCTAACGGTGTGTTCTCCACCCATTCAATGCTGGTGTTTCCAACATAACATTTTTTTCATTACCCAGTCAACGTTTATGCTAAATAACAGAGGAGGTGAAATGCATCCCTGTTTCACTTCAGTACTGTAACATTCATCATCATATGCCATGAGGGTAAGCAGGGAATGTCATGCTTCACTATCTCTCACGATCACCAGAATCACAGATCAGTTCAATGGGCTTTTTTTGTCTCGCCCCCATATATCAGGCCAGACCATCTAGGTATTTACATCTTTGCCTTCCTCTTGCTCTTTTTCCATCAATCTTGTCAGCTGTTAACCAAGTTTTCCAGCCCATTCCTTCTCATGACATGTCCATTGACTGTCTAAGTCAAATTGTTCTAACAATAGCTTGCGATTTTCATCTGTCTCAGTGAGGACTACTTTGCATGTTTCTTCATCCTTTCATGATATTCTTTGCACTCTTCTCAGAAGCTAACATTACAACTGTAATTTCAATAAACAACTGTAAATTCAATAAACAACTGTAAATTCAATAAACAACTGTAAATTCAATAAACAACTGTAAATTCAATAAACAACTGTAAATTCAATAAACAACTGTAAATTCAATTCAACTGTAATTCAAAAAAACAACTGTAACCATTACAATTACTACAATTACAATCCACGGCATTTGTGGCTTAGGCGTTGTGAATGCCCTTTGTAATGGTGGAATACTGGGTTCGATTCCAGCTGCAGGCCTTGCACTGGTTTCAACAGTGGTAGCAAGAAGCTGACTGTCCAGAAAGTATTTGCAAACTACTGGACATAAATTTGCCAAGAAAAACCACAACAGCCAAAGAATTCTGGGGTTTGTTCTGCAATGTCCTTAAAGGATACGCAACTAACTTACTAACTAACCATGCACAATGACAATTGTGATGTTTTCTTACATTCAGCACTTTGAAGAATCTGTGAGATGTAGGACTCCTCTGCCTCGGTACAGTTGGTGCCATCAGCTGGGCATGATGTTTGATTGGCTGTTGAGGGGAAGATAGAGAAAAGCTTCCTAAACCATACACAAAATACATACATCTGCTCGAAGGAACAACAAACGGTTTACAAATTGACAGTTTTGCAGAATAGGTAGGGAACTGTTTAGTAAATTTTTAAATTTGCAATAATGTCAAAAAAATGGCTTATAAAATTACAAACATATATACCAGAAAAGAAAATATATTTTTAAACTATGCATTTACTAAGAAGAAATAAAGAAAGAAGAACTGAGGCATTCTAATACTGTAGTCAACAAACAGACTGAAGATATGTATGTTATTCTAAAGCAACAAATAGAAAGAGTGGAGACATCTACGTGTGGCATCCAAGCAGCAGTGCATTAGTTCTGCCTTGATGTTTATTTTAATATTAACCCTTACTGGAATCTAAAAATCACCTTTCTGTGTGGAGTTGTGATCATCTGATTTGATGCGAGGCACCATCGGGTGCTCCACCTCCATAAGGAAGTCGTCCTGGAAGGAGATGAAACCGATGATGGAGAAGAGGTAGATGAGGATGACAGCCAGCACGGTGGTAAGGAGGATAGAGCGCCCATTCCTAGTCACAGACTTGATCACGTTCAGCAGGGTCTCCTCTCTATAGACAACATCCAGCAGCTGAAAACAGAATACCATTACTGAGTGACATCATCTGAGGATAGAACTTCTTCTTAGCATTCACCAGCTGTAAACTCTGGTGGAAAGTTCCAGCTTTTCAATCTCATCTGAACTTTGTTTTTGTTACAGAACTTGAGTTTTGGGTGCTAATCCGTCTACAGATCTGGTTGTAAGTAGACTGTTGGTTCCTCGCAGTTGCACTTAACTTAGGCAGATGCACTGCAATTTGAAGGAAACATCCCTAATTAGATGCCTCTTATGACATGCTTGTTAGGGAGGCAATGGGTGTATCCTATCCTCTCCCCCTCCCAAAAAAAAAGAAACATTGCTTAAAAAGAAACAAGAAATTAAATATTGCTAAAAAAAATAAAAAAATTAAATATTGGTTAAAAATTTTTTTTTACATTGCTTGAAAAACAAAAATAATGAGCTTCAACTTCAAAGAAAATACAACTAGTTAGTGGTCTAATTGTATGACATGCTGGACAGATGTTGCAATGGGTCTATCCCCCCCACACCCCCCCCCCCCCCCCACCCCACGACAAAACAGGGCTCTGGAACCCACACAGGGATTGCACACTACTTAAAAAGGAAAAACAGAAAATTAAACAGTGCAGTGCTTGAGAAAACAAATTAAACATTACTTTAAAAAAAATAATTAACTCTTTACGGACAGATTGGCACTTTAGTGGCTTTTCTTCTTCTTCTTCTTCTTTGCGTTCGGTTTCGTATGCTCAGATCAGAGCATCAGGTGGGTTGCCTATATTAACTCGCATGTCAGCAGCAGGTCCTTCATGGTCCCCCGTAGCTAAGCTCAGCACACTTTGCTCTAGAGGCCAGGTTTCTTTTCGAAGTTGTAGGTAGAGTGGGCAGGTCTGCAGAATGTGCTCAGGTGTTTGTGGTTCTGTTTGACAGGCACACTGTGGGGACTGTGCAATCTTTATTTTATGCAATTGGTAGTTGAACCTGGTGTCCTGTCTGTAGATGGAAAATTGTGTATTTTGCTTTCTGCTGATGGGGTTTTGTGGATGTTTACTGTTTGTTCTTTCCACAATTCCTTGCATTTTTCCTTGCTGAATGTTTTGATTTCTGGCAATGACAATGAATGGGTGTGTTGTTTCTCCTTTGTTTTTTTGTTGCAAGTCTGCTAACTCATTTCCTGGTAGTGAGCCGGGATCCAATGGAGAATGATTTGACTGTTTTCTGGGAGTCTGTTTAGCTGACGGGTCAGTTCTCTCTCCATGTTGTCTCGTGGATCCCTCTGAGTCACCTGGAGGACTGACAGGCAGTCACAAAGAAAAACATTTTGGCCATTTTTAATTTTACTTTCCTAACTAACTATGGCTGAGTTAATAATTGCTTGCTGCTCTGCTCTGAAGTTTGTTGAGAGTCTTCTGGAGGCGCACGACGTTAGTGGCTTTTGATTCCATTAACATTCAGATGGAACACCACTTTAATGGCTATTCATAGAGACATGCTAATATTATTTCATTTGCAGGGAAAATGAATTTGTATGAACATGTTTTGAAAAATTAGAATTAGCAACAACAACAAAATCTTTTCTAAACTGAAGTTTGGCATGGCGTCTGGATCACTTTCTGATTTGCTTTTAATTCAGTGTGATACAATTTGTATGTGATTTTTCCAGACGAAATGATAAGGGGAAAGGTCTACAACTGTTCATACTGCTCTGTTGTTGATGAATCTCAGCTAGACAGTGACAAGTCTTGATATTATGATTGATAATACAAGTGCCAAACCTATGCAAATAATATAGGTCAGGATGAGGTTGAAACAAAATATTTCAATCAGATCATCCCTCTTTCGCTCAGCTGTGTCAGGAATTCGATTGTTGTGAAATGTGGCATGTCATACAAAAATCATCATAAAATCCTGTCCTAATTAGTTGTATCAAATAAAGACTAACTGATGCATAATTAAACAGAGAAGGCATGTGAATTCTTAGAAATAGATAGCAGTGTTGCTGAACAAGTAAAAAGTAAGGTAAGTACAACATTTTATATGTCAATAATCTTCATAAATGTCTAACATCCTTGAATGTTGTGTGATTTTAATAATATTCTGTTGTAATACTGATACTTAAATATTTAGATTTATTTTGCACTCATTTCTCTTTACTTTGATATTTTATATGTCCGTATACAGCCAATACTGTTTATTCAGGACGGTTTTAGTTTCGCCCCAAAAAAATTCAGCTAAAAATTATGCTGTCAAAACCCCAGAAAAAATGTCGCCCTGAAAGAGTTAAACAATGCTTAAAAAAATGCTGGAAAAAATATAAACATGATTTAAAAATTTAAAAAAAATGTGCAAAAAAATGTTTTTAAATTGCCTGAAAAAAGAAAAAAAATTTGCATATTTATTTTTAACAGCTCTTTGGCTTAATGGTAATAGAATGAGGTTATCAATTTCATGGTCCTCTGAGGCAGCACAAATAGACAACAATCACAGACAGCAATGACAAGCAGATCTGAGGCAGCACAAATAGACAACAATCACAGACAGCAATGACAAGCAGATCTGAGGCAGCACAAATAGACAACAATCGCAGACAGCAATGACAAGCAGATCTGAGGCAGCTCCAGAGACAACAATCACAGACAGCAATGACAAGCAGATCTGAGACAGCACCACAGACAACAATCACAGACAGCAATGTCAGCTAACAAACTCTTACCAGGAGACTAAAGAAGAACTCGTGGAAGAAGAAGCCGAGAGCACAGAGAATGAAGTAGCCGATGTGGTAGACCATCTCAAAGTCAGAGAGAATTTCGTTGACCGGCTTGATGAGCACCCCTCTGTTGCCGAGCAGGCTGACCATGAAGATGAACTTGTTGAGCAGCTGTGGATGGATGGACAGCACACACGGTAAGACAGTTACAGGCAATTACTAATAAACTTCAGACATTTATTAACTGGTGCCTGCACAGAATAGAGGGAATTAAATGGTATGGTAGAATAACTAATGTAGAGCTTTGACAGAGAACTAAGCAAGCTCCAGTGGACCAAGAGGTAAAGAAAAGACGCTGCCGTTGGATTGAACAGACATGAGAAAATCGGAGAATAATATAACTAGAATGTCTTTGCACTGGAACCCACAGGGGCATAGGAATAAAGAAATGCCAAAAACACACATGGAGAAGGGAGCTGGAGAATAAAGTTAGAAAGATGGGGAGGACATGGGGAGAGCTGCATGCGATAGGATATAACAAATTAGTGTGAGTTGGTTGAGGGCCTCTGCTCCACTGGAGGCTAGAAGAAGACAGCTAGAAAATAAAAGTTACTTGCATATCCTTTATAAGACTTATATTTCTTGGCCTCTGTGATTTATTTAGCAATTTTACATTCATCTCCTTCTTCTTTGCATTCACTGGCTGTAAACTCTGATGATAAGTTCCGGTAGTTTGTGCACTGCTGGTTTTACAGAGCTTGCTTATCTGTGTGCAGACTGTCAGTTCTTTACTTCTCAGACAGTTGCACTCTGACTTTAAAGGAAGCACCCCTAATTAGTAGACTTTTATGACATGCTTGTTCCGAAGGGGCAGTGTTTCACCCCCCGCCCCCCCCCCCCCCCCCCAATGGGGCCTTAGAACCCACAGCTAGAAATTTTAAATAAAGTAGTTTGCCATTAAAGCAATGGCTAACTACTGGACGTACATTTGCCTAGAAAAACCACACAACACAACAACTAGGCGTCGGCTCTGTGGCTTAGTCGATGCGAACGCTTCGTAATGCCGGGAGGCCGGGTTCGATCCCAGCTGCGGGCCATGTGCCTTGCGTTGGTTTCGACAGTGGTATCAAGAAAGCCGACCGTCCAGAAAGCAATGGCAAAATACTAGACGTAAATTAGCCTAGAAAAACCACACAGGGGCTGTTGGGGTTGGTTCTGCAAAGTCCTGTAAAGGATACACAACTAACCTTGAGTTTGCCATTACTGATGATTAACAGATGATCTACGGTTGTCAAAATCAAGGCAAAGTGGTCTGTTGTCAAACTACTTGCAGCAGAATCAAGCTCAGTATGTCAGCATTATACAACTGCGCTCATAACCATTTAAACCAGACAGTTATACAACTGCAATTATATTTGAACTCTGTGTGTGCCATGGAATGCACAATGTGTGGTCGGTTGTTCTTCATATGTACCAACCAATGTATTGTGTGATCATATTTTCTACATTTAGTCAGTGTGCTTAAGAAATCTGGCAGTGTTTTTGTTGTATACAAGGTGTGCATATCTGACAATTGTAGTCTTGTTGTTGTCTTTATTTCCCCTTTTGGACATCATCTATTGTAACAGATACTGAGGTAGATTCGTGGAAACAAAATGCCACAGACCGTGCTGCATGGAGGGGCAAATCAGGACAAGAAAGAGAATGAAGGAAAAAATAATTGCAGAAAGGATGAGAGCTGAGAAACTGCTGAGAAACACACTGAATAATATGATGGTTTCTCCGTGGTGAAGTGGTCAAACTGTTTGCCTCGTGCTCTGAAGATCATGGGTTAATTTCAGTCTGCGCCCTTCAGTTCACGAGTGCAATTTTTACAGAGATCCTTGGGGATCGTTGTTGGAGCGACAGACTTCGTGCTCTGTGCGGAGTTCCTGGCAGATGGCTAGCCGTTCTGTGGAGAGAGATCGAGCCACTCGGGATCACACCCAGTGCCATGAAGTGGATCCTACCGGTTTTAACCTTCTGACTTTTGACCAACAATGGCCCTGAAATCATATACTATAACCGTGGAAGACTTTTCTCTCATGTAGGCGGGTCTTGCTAGTCACACTAGCCATCGCCAAGGGCTGTGAATCTCAAGCCTCCTCACAGCACTGTATAATCCATCATCTGGAAGGAGGGAAAGGTGACAACTAACTGCTTAGTTAGTCAACCGATTATCCTGAATGCACATCGAACCATTCAGTCCTTTTATAAGTGCTTGGATCCCCTCCTTTGTAAATCCCGCAGCATGTAGCAGCCCATGACACCAGTTCTGTAACTAACAACTTATTGATGTACAATTTAAAATCACTTCAGCAAATTATCTAGTCACAAGCGTTTAGAAGAAATATGAATAAACTTTTCTAGGCATTGACTTTTAGTTTCAAATAATATAGAATAAGTCTATCTAGACAATCTGTATATAGCTTTTAAAGAAACCTTGGAATGTATTCTATTCTCGTTCAAGAGCAGACTGAATCAAACTATTCACTGTAGCTAGCAGTGGTTCACCACAGAAAGCCTTAAAACAAATCTACAACGTTTGTGTATCTAGCTAGCTGTGGTTCACCACAGACAGCCTTAAAACAAATCTACAATGTTTGTGTATCTAGCTAGCGGTGGTTCACCACAGACAGCCTTAAAACAAATCTACAACGTTTGTGTATCTAGCTAGCAGTGGTTCACCACAGCCTTAAAACAAATCTACAATGTTTGTGTATCTAGCTAGCGGTGGTTCATCACAGAAAGCCTTAAAACAAAACAATGTTTGTGTATCTAGCTAGCAGTGGTTCACCACACACAGCCTTAAAAATATCTATAATATTACTGTATCTAGCTAACAGTGGTGCACCACACATTGAGCCTTAAGAAAATCTACAATGCTTGTGTAACTAGCTAGCAGTGGTTCACCACAGACAGCCTTAAAACAAATCTACAACGTTTGTGTATCTAGCTAGCAGTGGTTCACCACAGCCTTAAAACAAATCTACGTTTGTGTATCTAGCTAGCGGTGGTTCATCACAGAAAGCCTTAAAACAAAACAATGCTTGTGTAACTAGCTAGCAGTGGTTCACCACAGAAAGCCCTAAAACAAAATCTACAATGTTTGTGTAACTAGCTAGCAGTGGTTCACCACAGAAAGCCTTAAAACAAAATCTACAATGTTTGTGTAACTAGCTAGCAGTGGTTCACCACAGAAAGCCCTAAAACAAAATCTACAATGTTTGTGTAACTAGCTAGCAGTGGTTCACCACAGACAGCCCTAAAACAAAATCTACAATGTTTGTGTATCTAGCTAGCGGTAGTTCACCACAGACAGCCTTTAAAATGTCTAATATGTTTATTATGTTTTTAAATATTTTGGTCACTTGAAACGTCATGGAAGTCTAGAGAGAACAATAATGGAGGGGTATATGCCTGGGAAGAGAGGAAGAGGAAGGCCAAGGAGAAGATGGGTGCAGGATGTGGCAGATGATCTCCAGATGGGTGTATCAGACGCAGGACATCTTGCTCAGGATAGGAAGGTTTTCCGGAGGGTTGTTATGGCAGCGAGGTTCCGCGAGGGACATGCTACTGAATGAATGAATGAATGAATATGTTTGTGTAACTAGCTAGCGGTGCTTCACCACAGAAAGCCTTAAAAAAAAAAAAACAATGTTTGTGTATCTAGCTAGCAGTGGTTCACCACAGAAAGCCTTAACAAAATCTACAATGTTATTGTATCTAGCTAGCAGTGGTGCACCAGAGAAAGCCTTAAAACAAAACAATGTTTGTGTAATCAGCTAGCAGTGGTTCACCACATACAGCCTTAAAATATCTACAATATTATTGTATCTAGCTAACAGTGGTGCACCACACATCGAGCCTTAAGAAAATCCACAATGCTTGTGTAACTAGCTAGCAGTGGTTCACCACAGACAGCCCTAAAACAAAATCTACAATGTTTGTGTAATCAGCTAGCAGTGGTTCACCACACACAGCCTTAAAATATCTACAATATTATTGTATCTAGCTAACAGTGGTGCACCACACATCGAGCCTTAAGAAAAATCTACAATGTTTGTGTAACTAGCTAGCAGTGGTTCACCACAGACAGCCTTAAAACAAAATCTACAATGTTTGTGTAATCAGCTAGCAGTGGTTCACCACACACAGCCTTAAAATATCTACAATATTATTGTATCTAGCTAACAGTGGTGCACCACACATTGAGCCTTAAGAAAATCTACAATGCTTGTGTAACTAGCTAGCAGTGGTTCACCACAGACAGCCCTAAAACAAAATCTACAATGTTTGTGTAATCAGCTAGCAGTGGTTCACCACATTTAGCCTTTAAAAAATCAACAATGTCCATCATAAGTGTCCAACCAGCTGGTATTCCTGAATAATTTAGAGCCAGCAGTTCATTGCCCCACACTCCAGCATACCCAGAACATTGTTCAGTGCTTTTAAGAGGCAGTACCCGCCCATGCCACATCTGTCAATGTTAAACTGTCCTATAACTTACAAACAACTAGTGGCTGCACCAACTTACATTAATTAGGCCAAGGAGGAACAGTGTTACTCTCAAACCAAATGTGCAAATAAAACGTAATATAATGGAGGCCAGCAGTGCCTTGAATCCCATGGGATGAGGAAAGAAGACCACCACAGCAGTGCAGATCATGACAGCACCCCACAAGAGCCCGTTGAATTGAGCGCCCACCGAATCTGTAATAGACAGAAATGACAATCTACAATAAGTCAGATCCCCCCCCCCCCCCCCCCCCCCCCACTTTTTGTCACTTAACTTAAAGATTTACACTGTTAAAAAAATGAACCATAAAAACTGAAAAAACAAAACAAACAAAAAACACATAGTTGTCTGATGGTGCTTTTCTGCTGTAAACCCCCTCACCCAATCATTTAAATTCAAATAATAGTAACCTTCACCCATCAAACAATCATTCACATGTATATAATAGTAATCTTCACCCATCAACCAATAATTTTATTGCAAATAATAGTAACTTTCACCAATAAACCAATCATTTAACTGCAAATAATATTAACCTTCACCCATCGCCATGGGCTGTGAGTCCCATGCCTCCTCATAGCGCAATATAACACTATCATTTGGAAAGACGGAAAGGTGCCAATCAATCAGTCAATCACCCATCAACCAATCACTGAATTGCAAATAACAGTAACCTTCACCCATCAACAAATCATTAAAATGTAAACAATAGTAACCTTTACCCAAGCATTTAATTGCAAATAATAGTAACCTTCACCCGTCAAACAATTATTCAAAAACAAACAACAGTAACCTTTACCCATCAATCAATCAATTATAAAACAGTAACCTTTACCCATCAACAATCAATTATAAAACAGTAACCTTTACCCATCAATCAATCAATTATAAAACAGTAACCTTTACCCATCAATCAATCAATTATAAAACAGTAACCTTTAACCATCAATCAATCAATTATAAAACAGTAACCTTTACCCATCAACCAATCACTGAAATACAAATAACAGTAACATTCACCCATCAACCAATCACTGAAATGAAGCCTAAATAACAGTAACCTTCACCCATCAACCAATCACTGAAATGAAAATAAAAGTAGCTTTCACTCATCAATCAATGATAAACAACTACAATTCAATAAACTTAGATCTATGCTAAATCAAAATGGATCAGCTAAACAAGCAGACTGTACTCCAGTGGATCCCAGGCCATGGAAACATTCAGGGAAATGAAAGAGCAGACAACTTAGCAAAAATTAGAAGTCATACAGAAGAGCCAGATACAGGATACACTTATGAGGGAAATATAACTCAAAGCATGGTAGTCATTAGAAGCTATTAGAACACAACAAGTTCAGGACTAAATCCTGCAGACACAATCTTCTTACATGAAAGAAACAGACCACTGTATTCAGATAGTGTACCGGTCACAACAGACTCTGAAGCCATGAGTACAAGAAATTCAAGACTGGGGATTCAGAACTTTGCCCATGTGGAATAAGAAATCACAAAATCAGACAAATGTTAGGAATAAAGCCAATCTTACAGGTCATTAAAGAACAACAAATAAGTGGTTTGGACACCTAACAAGAATGCCCTGGTACTATCTGCCACAGCGAGCAGCACTGAAACGTTACAGCAGGTATAGGGCAAGCAGAAGACCTCGGAAAAGATTGAGTGATGGCATTAAGAACAGCCTTACAGAAATGAACATCAATCTTGATAGTGCTCTTGACAGAGCCATCAATGAATCTTACATTTCCCCCCGACACTTCGCTGAAGTACAAGGTGGAAGAGAAGAAGAAGAAGAAGAAAAACAAGGAGGAGGAGGAGGAGGAGGAGGAGGAGGAGGTGCAGCAGCAGCAGCAGAAGAAGAAGAAGCCCATGTGGACAGGCACAACAGAATACTGAAAATGTGCTGCAGACATGCTCTCTACATGCAGTAGAGAGATCCCAGGTTTGGCTGGTTGGCACTTTAAAGGAATCTAAGCTGTATGGAACTGTGGAAGACATCTGTCACACCACACACCACAGACATCACAGAGGTCTGGTGGCCTTATTTGAAAACCACTTGCTGGGAGAATAAACAGAAGAAAAACCAATCAATGTAATGTGCATACGTGGAGAAAAACATCTACTTACGAAAGTCGAGCGTATTGTATGGGTAGAAAATGGCCACCAGCAAGTTGATGATGACCGCACAGCTGAAGGATATGCTGTTCCATAGACCCATATGACTGCTGAACCAAAACATCACAGGCTGCACTGAAAACAGGCCAAACAAAAAGTTAAAGGCCAACCTGGCAACCAAACAACATAATTTCTATAAAAGTCGAGTTGAATCAAAATCACAGCACTTGAAGCATTCTGATAAATGCTCCGCACCCATTTTCAGCAACCAGCACAGAGTTCCAATACCAGTGGTACCATGAGCAGTTAGATTATATGTCCATCTTGCCTTTCCTCTGAGCATTGAGTATCGGCCAGATCCCCTCGCCACTCCTTGCTGCATCACTCTCACCAGACTGTGATGACCCGTTTGCTCCTCTAAATTCTACATGTGCTCCCATAATACCTTAACCAATTCTGCCTTATCAAGCATCAATATTCTGCCAAGTTATGCAGAGCTGGCCAATCTTACACCTGTTCATTTCCCAACACATCGACCCTAGAGAAAAGATCCAGATAGTGCTCTTCACCCAAGACTTCTAAAGCAAAGGATGCCACTCTGCATGACACATGCCTATCTTCACCTTCCTCATGGCTTCAACAGATGATGTGTTGGTATCTCTTCATGCCAGGACACAAGCAAACACAGAAGAAAAAACTGAATCTGGCTGCCAGGCTAAGCCAAAATGGATATGTCCTAGAGAGTAAAGGTGGCTACTGTGATGTTCACATCGCCCAGTACTGGATTTAGGATAAGCTAAATAAACCACAGCCTAGTACTGGTTTTAGGATAAGCTAAATAAACCACAGCCTGGTTCCTCACAATCTGCAGGGGCCTCACAAACATTATTCAGGCTCGAATAATAATAGTAATATGTCACTAAATTGACCAAAAAGTGAAGATTAGAGTCTTAGTTTGAACAGCAGAAAAACAGAAGTAATCATAATTACAAAGAAAACTGACCCTGCCAAATGCAACATCAAACCTCAAGCAAGTTGATACGTTTAAGCAATTGGGCACGCTAATAACATCAGATGGAAGATTTATTGAAGTTAAATGTAGAACAACTCAAGCAAAAAGCAGCATTTTACAAAATGAAGAATATTTTATGCAATCTTTCTTTGTCAATTGAGACTAGAAAGAGAATTCTTAAAAGCTATATAAATCCTGTATTGACATACGGAAGTGAATCATGGACAGTTGGTAGATTCGTGAAAAAAAAATATTAGTAAGCTGCGGAGATGTGGGTTTTTTTTTTTTAGAGGAACAATGTGAATACCCTTGACAGATTAAAAAAAAAGAGTATTGAGGATGTCTTTAAAGAAACTGCTGGATAAAGAGAACTGATTGCCCTCATCAAAAAGAGACAATCTAAATTCTTTGGTCATGTGACGAGAAGGAGAAAACTGGAATACATCGTGATGGTAGGAAAGTTGGAGGGAAGGAGAGGCAGAAAGAGACAAAGAGAACAGATGCTGGAAAGTTTGGCATCATGGCATGCAAGATCATTTGTGTGACTGAAACTATATGAGACAGAAGGTTGTGGATAGACATGAATACCAAAACCACACGGCATGGGCTTTGAGAAGAAGAAATGAGACATTACTAAACAGATGTTAAGCTTATTCAGACTTACTTCTAAGCTTTTTCTGCCACTTCATCTCGTTAAACATTTCATGATGTCGGCTAAAGAAATCGGCAACTTTGCTTCCTTGCTCATCCCGTTCCGCTCGTTTAAACACATTCAGTTTAGTTTCCTTGGTCAGGTACTCGCAGATCTCTGGGATGGGGAACACAATCCTTTCCATGGTTCGGTCTTGCCGCACAATCTGATGAGTGATGAGTTCAGTGGTGATCACAAATCCATGAATTTAATTGGAAAGCAATTCATACAATAAAAACTTTGAATGAGCCAGATTTTTAACAAATGACCTCCACGTGTCATATACTGGGTCCCCATTTTAAGGCTTGAGTTGAGCTGAGTTAAGAATTAACATCACAGCACTCAGGGCATTCCCATATGTGCTCCCTCCCCATCCTCAGCAAAGAATTTTAACTCTGAGTCCCAGAGAACGCATCACCCGCTAATAGGTTACAACCCAGTGGCCCAATCGACGCGTGACAAGTGAAGGTTTTTCACTTACCGCTGACAGGTAATACAACGTGGACTGCTCAAATTCAACTTCCTTTTAATTTCTTTGTGTCTGATATCAGGCATGCTCATTTGAAAACATGGTTTAAAAGCTGAAAATATAGTTTATTTGTGAGGTTTCCCGAGTTACTAAGTGTTTGTTTGAAAACAATATGGCCACCGATCAGTATTCTACATGCATTATAACACCATTTACGATGTGATAACAAAAGCACGCAAAGGTCTATCTGCAATGAGAATTATGGATGCTTCCAATATTGAGCAAAGACTATTAATACTTCTATTCTACGGTCTGGTCCTTTCCCCCATTGAATACGCTCTGGCCATCCTCACTGTCAGTGCTACCCAGATTGAACGACTCGAAAAGGTGCAAAATGAAGCCATGCGCATTATTTTGGGATGTACTAGAGACACATCCTGTGGAGCAATGAGGTATCTACTTGACTTTCCAACAATGAACCAAAGGATCAGGATGTGGAGGGCTCGGGCATATCTCAAAATATGTGCTGATAAGAAACACCCACTGCATCAAGCGCTTTTTAGTGAAAAGGGCGACAGACTGAAGAGGGGGAAATCGTGGCTAGGTCGGGCAGAAGATGTTATTAGGCAAATATACAGCCTAACCGACATCATACCTGATGCAGAATGGATACCTGTGCCTCAGGCGTTTATTTGTACATTTTCCTGTATTGTCACACTCAACAGGCGATGTAGAGAAGAGAATCCTGTTGCTGTTAATGCAGAGGTCAACGCTCTCATCGGTGAAAATTCAGACGAAGCAGATGCAATAATCTATACAGACGGATCCGTTATACGCCAAAGAAGAAGCGCATGGGCATTTACAGCAAGCTCAGCGGGCAGAACAGTCAAAGAAGCCAACGGCGCCTTTTCCATGACAACCAGCAGCATGACGATGGAGGTGATGGCAGTAACGCAAGCGCTTGCCTGGCTTGAAACACAAAAATACACCCGCGTGTGTATACTCAGTGATTCAATGAGTATGATCCGGAGGGTTCAGGCAGGTTCAGTGCGAAGACAATGGCTTGAATCATTACAGAAGTCCACTGTTCGTGGAGTCACCTTTATTTTTGTTCCGGGACACGCAGGCGTCGATGGAAATGAAAGAGCTGACAGGTTGGCTGGATCCGCTATCACTACCGACGGTCAGCCTATGGATCATGCTGATATTATCAATGCCCTCAGAGAAATGGGAAGGATAGAGGACTTTGGTGGCAGTGAATCCACATCACTCGCCAGAATGGCAGACTTGGGAATTAAGATCGGCACAGCAAAAAACGAGACGCACACCAGCTACGCCAGAAGACTTGTTAATCAACATAGAACTGGTACTATTAGCCATCGGACGTTAGGGTTCATACTGAGGGGAGGATCTGAGCACCTATGGACATGTCCGGAGTGCAATGAGGATAACCCAACTAACTAACTAACTAACTAACTAACCATTTACGACTTCAAAAGCCTCAAATTTAAATAAAGCACGCGTTTATTAGATTTATCTAAAGTTAGATAGATACAGTTGTGAAGTAGATGTGTTTCAGTCATTTATAGTCAAACTTTGATGAGGGATAGGTCTAATGTGTACCTCAGGCGATGGGTAAACCGACAGAAAGTCAGCTGACACAAATAGAATAAATACTTGTGAAAATGATTTTCTTCTGCGTCAGTTAGTTCTTATTCAACTTATTTTTTAGGAACGTAGCTACAAAATTACAAGCAAACTGAGTGCTAGATTTGTGTGAAGATACTAACATTTTTGGAAAGTCAGTTTTATTTATAAAATAAAGGAGCTCTGTTATGATGCTTCAAAAGATTCTCTGGAACATTATCTAGTGCACAAATTTAGTTTATATTTTACTTATAAATTACTAAATGGTTCATATTTATTTGTGACTCAGTTTAGATATATTTTAGCGAGATTTTCTTAAGTGGCATAGTAGTAAGTGGAAATTTTTTATATTTCATATGACTAATTTTTGTAAACATACAGTCTGTTTATTTACAAATATTTAATTACTAACGCAATTATTTGTTGTAGCAGTATTCTAATATTATTCCCCAACAATCCTTGGCCACTTTGATGTATAATACGTGTATGTTGTGCGGCAGGTAAATTAATATTGTCTGTTTTAATGTGTCACACTTGTGAAATTAAATAATTGCATTACCACCCCTTGGGCCTCTGATGCTAAACCCCCTGGGACTCACAGAGTTGGGAAAAATTTTAAAAATTTTACGTTTAATTTTAAGACAAAATAAAATAGACATACACACAACCCAGCACCTACCTCTATCTGTGCAGTGTGGTCATGCACACATACAACCCAGCACCTACCTCAATCTGTGCAGTGTGGTCATGCACACACAACCCAGCACCTACCTCAGTCTGTGCAGTGTGGTCATGCACACACATGCACACACACACACACAACCCAGCACCTACCTCAATCTGTGCAGTGTGGTCATGCACACACATACACACACACAACCCAGCACCTACCTCAATCTGTGCAGTGTGGTCATGCACACACATACACACACACACAGCCCAGCACCTACCTCAATCTGTGCAGTGCGGTCATGCACACACATACACACACACACACACAACCCAGCACCTACCTCAATCTGTGCAGTGTGGTTGTGGTAGTATTCCAGGGCCTGGTCACCAAAAAGGTCACTTCCTCCAGGCCGCAGCATGTCGGCCAGTTCTCGGTTATGTTGTGACAACTGTGGAAACATGAGAGAGGGTGTTCTAGTTATGTTGTAACAACTGTGGAAACATGAGAGAGGGTGTTCTAGTTATGTTGTAACAACTGTGGAAACATGAGAGAGGGTGTTCTAGTTATGTTGTAACAACTGTGGAAACATGAGAGAGGGTGTTCTAGTTATGTTGTGACAACTGTGGAAACATGAGAGAGGGTGTTCTAGTTATGTTGTAACAACTGTGGAAACATGAGAGAAGGTGTTCTAGTTATGTTGTGACAGCTGTTGAAAGATGAGAGAAAGTGTTCTAGTTATGTTGTGACAGCTGTTGAAAGATGAGAGAAAGTGTTCTAGCTATGTTTTGACAGCTGTGGAAACATGAGAGAAGGTGTTCTAGTTATGTTGTGACAGCTGTTGAAAGATGAGAGAAAGTGTTCTAGTTATGTTGTGACAGCTGTTGAAAGATGAGAGAAGGTGTTCTAGTTATGTTGTGACAGCTGTTGAAAGATGAGAGAAGGTGTTCTAGTTATGTTGTGACAGCTGTTGAAAGATGAGAGAAGGTGTTCTAGTTATGTTGTGACAGCTGTTGAAAGATGAGAGAAAGTGTTCTAGTTATGTTGTGACAGCTGTGGAAACATGAGTGAAGGTGTTCTAGTTATGTTGTGACAGCTGTGGAAACATGAGAGAAGGTGTTCTAGTTATGTGACAGCTGTGGAAACATGAGAGAAGGTGTTCTAGTTATGTGACAGCTGTGGAAACATGAGAGAAGGTGTTCTAGTTATGTTGTGACAGCTGTGGAAACATGAGAGAAGGTGTTCTAGTTATGTGACAGCTGTGGAAACATGAGAGAAGGTGTTCTAGTTATGTGACAGCTGTGGAAACATAAGAGCAGGTGTTCTAGTTATGTTGTGACAGCTGTGGAAACATGAGAGCAGGTGTTCTAGTTATGTTGTGACAGCTGTGGAAACATGAGAGAAGGTGTTCTAGTTATGTTGTGACAGCTGTGGAAACATGAGAGAAGGTGTTCTAGTTATGTTGTGACAACTGTCAGAGACATGAGAAAAGATATTCTAATTATGCTGTGACATCTGTCAAAGAACTACCACACAATTAAACAAAGCTCTAGAAAAAAAAAAAAAACTATACAAAAACAAACAGCCTGGAAATTTCCAAAACTGTTCAAGACAAAGAGAAACTACAAGAATACTTGGATATTACCATGCAAGGGATGGACAGATGGAATATCCATGGCCGTAAATACCAGCATATGTGCAACACATACAAAGGTTCAGTCACTTCAAATCCTGCCGCGGAAAGGCAGAACAGGCATCGACATATGTCAGCGGCTCATACATTGACAGAAAACCACATACCTGATGTGCCAGGATATAAATGTTATGTCCCACAGCTTTTGGTGACGCGTTGTTCTCCTCAATCCCATCACCCTCATCATCAAGATCATAGTGTGTTGTGTCATCCTTCCCCGGGTCCTCAGAATGGAATGCTTGGATGGCAATGTCGATCTGAACGATGAACAGAAAAAATATCATGCAATGACCCCATGTGTGACCCTTGCTGTATAGATAGTAATCAAAAGCATCCAAAATGTGACCCCTCAGCCATTATCTAGACCACAGTTCCTCAAACTGCTTACACACATGGACCACCAAAAACAGGGGAAATTGTTTCGTGAAATCTAATGTAACACAGAAACAAAGCTGACGCCTACAATGCCACAGAAATAGAATGAAATGGTTCAGCCATCTAGTGAGACTGTAGTCAGACCAAACTGCATATGAGACTTTTTACAGTAGTAGAACATCTGGGAGGAAGGTGAGAGGTAGACTAGAAAAGAGATATATAAATGGTGTAGACGAAACCTGCAATAAGATGAACAGATCCATCACCCAAGCCCCCCCCCCCCCCCGAGAAGTGCAAGACAAGTACAGAAAACCACCACACTGGGCTACAACCTGGTAACAGTGAGACGACAAAAGAAGAATGCCATACTGGCTTTACAGGACTCATATAGCATTTTCAAGAACTAATGCTATAATTACCAGTCCAAAGTGAACTACAAGTTGTGTAGCCGTCAGGTGTCATAACATTATTGTTGTATGCGTCTGAACTGGGTTTTACAAGATTTGTACCTGCTTGATTCTCATCCTTGGGGGTGGTCACGATTCAATCAAACAGCAATCGGGAAAGAGAACGACGACCTATCTTACCCTGTTATATGATTAGAAAGAAAAGTTTGGTGGTCCACCTGAACCTTCCCTCGGCCCACCAGTGGGATATGGTAAAGGAATACTGATCTAGATCAGGAGTTCCATGGGTGGTTTCTGGGGCCCCATTGTGGAGGGGGGGGGGGGGGAACAAGAACAGACCCACTGCCTCCTTCAAAGTCAGAGCGCATCTGCCTGAGAGTTAAGGAACCAACAATCTGCATCCCATTAAGTCAGATCTGTTAAACAGATGTGCAGGCAATACTCAGGTTCTGGAACAAGACTAAAGTCCAGAGGTGGACAAACAACCAGAACTGCTCGTCAGAGTTTACAGACAATGAAATTGAAGAAGAAGAAAAAGAAGACCGGTCCCAGGCAAAAACTTGCCCAACAAGCAATTTTTTACTGACCTGCAAAGCTGGTGTAGAATTAATAAATAATCTGGTTGTTGAACTCACAAAATAGCAGAACACAAAAACATATCGTTGTGAGCAGAAAGAAAAATCCAAATATCAACATCTAAAAAGGTGATAACCTAACCAGTGATAAACAGAAACAGATTACACCAAATCTTTGATTCTGATCGTGAAATACGTTGTGGACAATGGAAATTATTAATATAATTCTAAATTTGGCATGTGGATAAAAAAAGTTGCCCAACCCTGATCTAGACAATGTGATGATATCCACCTATCTAGTTAACTTTTTTTTTTTTTAAATAATCGTAGAAGACTAATATAAAATTTGCCTATCTTAGCTTGAACCTGTTTCTTTGGTTACACAAGTAAAATGTTTAGCACCTGTGTTGGTTAATTCAAATATAAAAAATAGAAACTTGTAAAAGCTTTAACAAAATAATCTATAGAAAAACTTCAATTGATTATTTTAGACTGAAAACAAGCATGTGGAAACAGTGCAATGTTAAAGCAAGCTGGTATTAGAGAGAGGAGGTGGTTATTGACTTTGATCTGATCAACTTCTTCTTTGCATTCCCTGGCTGTAAACTCCCACGGAAAAGTTTGGCTGTTCATTCATTTCTCGGCTTTGGTCTTGTTCCAGAACTTGAGCTTTGTGGGAAGATCAATCGTAAAGATCCTACTTATTTGTATGCAGACTGTTGGTTACCCAGCTCTCATGTAAATGCAATCCAACTTTGAAGGAAATACCTCTAATTAGTGACTTTTATGACATGCTTGTTGGAGAGGGGGGAGGGGTAGTGGGTCTATTGTTTTCCCCCTTTTCCAAAATGAGGGGTCCGCTGCCAAAATGGGAAATCTGGTCAACATATAAGGCACACAGCAACTAACAAAGACTACTATGGTTTGTGACATTTAGTCGTCTATATGCAGTTCAAGAACACTGCACCAGATACCCAAAAAAAAAAACTTTTTGAACAACAAATAAACACATAGATGACCCAACAAATATATAGTTGACAGAAACAAACATATAGCTGACACAACAAACATATAGCTGACACAACAAACATATAGCTGACACAACAAACATATAGCTGACACAACAAACATATAGCTGACACAACAAACATATAGCTGACACAACAAACATTTAGCTGACACAACAATGACTGGGACTGGGTTCTCCCATTTCTACGACCCCTTGAACATTGTCTCTCTGAAACAGACATCAGTGATGCCCTTTGTTTCCAGGACAACCACTTTGAGGTCATGAGTCAAGAATTGATATCAACACACTCAGGACATTCCCACAAGCGCTCCATTTCCATCTTCAGCAGCAACTGCATAATACCAATTCTGAGGGTACCACTAACAGTCTGACTGTATGTCCATCTCAGTATTTCCATTAGTGATGAGGTCAAGATTCTGCCAAATCCCCAGGTCACTCCTCACTGCACAATTCTCATCAGTCCATAATGATCTATTTATGCCTCCATCTTTACAAGATCTAGCTTGTCACATGTCAATTTATTATGAAATGGTGTAGAGCTAGACAATAATCTATCTGCTTGTTCATTTACCAACACACTTACATACCCTGCGGAAAATACTTTTGAAATAGAGAAGGAGACAGATTCTTGATTGGTTCTGGAGCAAGAAGTCTGACTACGAGATGCTGACTGAAACTTTTACTGTATTTTTGGTCCAGGAGATCCAATGATCATCTCTATCTCCATTCCTGTGCCTAAGCTATTTTCTTGTGAAGTGATTGATGATAGCAGGGCAGCTTTGCATATCCCAATGTTTCTTACTGCCAGTCAGTGCATATGCGTTTCTCTGCTTTGTAACACACCATCTTAACATTTAACTCTGCACTATAACTGATTCTTCTTCTTCTTCACCGTTCTGAGCCCTTGAGGTTCATTGCTGCAGATATCACCCGCCTCCACTCATCTCTCTGGTTGGTTTTCTCTTTCCAGTTGGTGACATCAAAGTCTGTCTGGACGTTATCTCTCCATTGTCTTCTTGGTCTGCCTTGTGGTCTATGACCATTCAGCTCCCTTGCGTATACAGCTTTCACCTCTCTGTCATTTAACATTCTCTCAATATGCAAAGAACATTTATGCATGCAAAATTTAAGTTTTGGATCAAGACTAACTAAAGTCCAGAAGTCTCCATTAATTTCTGCTGGAGCTTGTGGTCACAAAGAAGAGGAAGAAGAAGAAGATATAAAGAATAAGCAACTCTGCTGTCATTATGATCTGTCCTGTCTGACAACTTCTATCTCAAATGCAGTCTGTAACCTTTAACCTAAACTGTAACCTATAACCTCAACTGTAACCTATAACCTTAACCTCCCACTGCAGCTTTAAAGGAGTCTGGAACACAGTGTAGCCTCTAACTCAGCTTCATGTGTAACATTTAACCAGAAGCACACACAAACAGTTAAGCCATTGACTTCATCACAAACAAAGCCACAGTCACTCTCTGGACACCGTTAACAAGAGCTACAGAAGTGAAAACATATCTTCACCTATGCTTCACAGACTACTCACAGACATTGCATCGTGCAAAGCTGGAGAAAAAACCAAACTACTAGACTAATTATACATTCTTCTTCTTCTTCTTCTCTCTACTCCTGGAATGCCTCCCAGCTCAGGGCAGGAGGAGATCTCTGGAACAGACCCCTTTGTTTGCTTCGTATATAGTCTTTTCAGTGTCTCTAATATTTCCATGGTTCGAGATTCTCTGTGGTCAACCTCTGGCTCTGTTACAGTTGTATCTGTATAACACTGTTTTCTGTGGTGCCCTGTCTGATGCCAATCTTGTTACATGGCCAAACCATTTGATCTGTTCTCTACCGATACAGTTTAGTATCAGTTCTCTGCCAATTCTCCTCTTGATATCATCGTTCTTTAGTCAATCTTTCCAAGTTACACCTTGCATAATACGTAAACATTTCACTTCTGTGAAGACTATTTTTCTTCTGTCTTCTGAAGACATAGTCCATGTTTGACTCTGATAGCAAATTGCTGGTAAGAATATATGGATATATATATATATATATATATATATGGATTATACTTTCATGGCAAAGATTTGAGAATAAGATCACGTGTTGGCGCCAAAATGTTCCTATAGGAAACAACAATCATTTGGGAACACTTCTGACGACAAAGATGAGTATCAGACATGTGTACTGTCCCCTGAATTAATCTCATTAAACAGGGACTTTGGCTAATGTTTATAATAAAACTAACTTATGATTCTGAAGGGAAAAAAAACCAGTCCTGATGAAGCAGGTCAGAAGGAACTACAGAGAATACTAGACATATTGTCTGTAGATAGTGAAGCACTAGACATATTGGCTGTAGATAGTGAAGCACTAGACATTATTGGCTGTAGACAGTGAAGCACTAGACATATTGTCTGTAGATAGTGAAGCACTAGACATATTGGCTGTAGACAGTGGAGCACTAGACATATTGGCTGTAGATAGTGAAGCACTAGACATATTGGCTGTATACAGTGGAGCACTAGACATATTGGCTGTAGATAGTGAAGCACTAGACATATTGGCTGTTGATAGTGAAGCACTAGACATATTGGCTGTAGATAGTAAAGCACTAGACATATTGGCTGTAGATAGTGAAGCACTAGACATATTGGCTGTAGATAGTGAAGCACTAGACATATTGGCTGTAGATAGTGAAGCACTAGACATATTGGCTGCAGATAGTGAAGTACTAGACATATTGGCTGTAGATAGTGAAGTACTAGACATACTGGCTGTAGATAAGTGAAGCACTAGACATATTGGCTGTAGATAGTGAAAGCACTAGACATATTGGCTGCAGATAGTGAAAGCACTAGACATATTGGCTGTAGATAGTGAAGCACTAGACATATTGGCTGTAGATAGTGAAGCACTAGACATATTGGCTGTAGATAGTGAAGCACTAGACATATTGGCTGTAGATAGTGAAGCACTAGACATATTGGCTGCAGATAGTGAAGTACTAGACATATTGGCTGTAGATAGTGAAGTACTAGACATACTGGCTGTAGATAAGTGAAGCACTAGACATATTGGCTGTAGATAGTGAAGCAAGAGACATATTGGCTGTAGACAGTGAAGCACTAGACATATTGCTATAGATAGTGAAGCACTAGACATATTGGTGTAGACAGTGAAGCACTAGACATTACTGGTTGTAGAAAGTGAAGCACTAGACAAATTGGCTGTGGATAGTGAAGCACTAGACATACTGGCTGTAGATAGTGAAGCACTAGACATATTGGCTGTAGATAGGTGAAGCACTAGACATACTGGCTGTAGATAAGTGAAGCACTAGACATATTGGCTGTAGATAAGTGAAGCACTAGACATATTGGCTGTAGATAGTGAAGCACTAGACATACTGGTTGTAGACAGTGAAGCACTAGACATATTGGCTGTAGATAGTGAAGCACTAGACATATTGGCTGTAGATAGTGAAGCCCTAGACATATTGGCTGTAGATAGTGAAGCACTAGACATATTGGCTGCAGATAGTGAAGCCCTAGACATATTGGTTGTAGATAGTGAAGCCCTAGACATATTGGCTGTAGATAGTGAAGCACTAGACATATTGGTTGTAGACAGTGAAGCACTAGACATATTGGCTGTAGATAGTGAAGCACTAGACATATTGGCTGTAGACAGTGAAGCACTAGACATATTGGCTGTAGATAGTGAAGCACTAGACATATTGGCTGTAGATAGTGAAGCACTAGACATATTGGCTGTAGATAGTGAAGCACTAGACATATTGGCTGTAGATAGTGAAGCACTAGACATATTGGCTGCAGATAGTGAAGTACTAGATATATTGGCTGTAGATAGTGAAGTACTAGACATACTGGCTGTAGATAAGTGAAGCACTAGACATATTGGCTGTAGATAGTGAAGCACTAGACATATTGGCTGCAGATAGTGAAGCACTAGACATATTGGCTGTAGATAGTGAAGCACTAGACATATTGGCTGTAGATAGTGAAGCACTAGACATATTGGCTGTAGATAGTGAAGCACTAGACATATTGGCTGTAGATAGTGAAGCACTAGACATATTGGCTGCAGATAGTGAAGTACTAGACATATTGGCTATAGATAGTGAAGTACTAGACATACTGGCTGTAGATAAGTGAAGCACTAGACATATTGGCTGTAGATAGTGAAGCAAGAGACATATTGGCTGTAGACAGTGAAGCACTAGACACATTGGCTATAGATAGTGAAGCACTAGACATATTGGCTGTAGACAGTGAAGCACTAGACATACTGGTTGTAGAAAGTGAAGCACTAGACAAATTGGCTGTGGATAGTGAAGCACTAGACATACTGGCTGTAGATAGTGAAGCACTAGACATATTGGCTGTAGATAGGTGAAGCACTAGACATACTGGCTGTAGATAAGTGAAGCACTAGACATATTGGCTGTAGATAAGTGAAGCACTAGACAAATTGGCTGTAGATAGTGAAGCACTAGACATACTGGTTGTAGACAGTGAAGCACTAGACATATTGGCTGTAGATAGTGAAGCACTAGACATATTGGCTGTAGATAGTGAAGCCCTAGACATATTGGCTGTAGATAGTGAAGCACTAGACATATTGGCTGCAGATAGTGAAGCCCTAGACATATTGGCTGTAGATAGTGAAGCCCTAGACATATTGGCTGTAGATAGTGAAGCACTAGACATATTGGTTGTAGACAGTGAAGCACTAGACATATTGGCTGTAGATAGTGAAGCACTAGACATATTGGCTGTAGACAGTGAAGCACTAAACATAATGGTTGTAGATAGTGAAGCACTAGGCATACTGGTTGTAGACAGTGAAGCACTAGACATATTGCCTGCAGATAGTGAAGCACTAGACATACTGGTTGTAGACTGAAGCACTAGACATTTGTAGTCAGTGAAGCACTAGACATATTGGTTGTAGATAGTGAAGCACTAGACATACTGGTTGTAGACAGTGAAGCACTAGACATATTGGCTGCAGATAGTGAAGCACTAGACATACTGGTTGTAGACAGTGAAGCACTAGACATATTGGCTGTAGATAGTGAAGCACTAGACATATTGGCTGCAGATAGTGAAGCCCTAGACATACTGGTTGTAGATAGTGAAGCACTAGACATATTGGCTGCAGATAGTGAAGCCCTAGACATATTGGCTGTAGACAGTGAAGCACTAGACATATTGGCTGTAGATAGTGAAGCACTAGACATATTGGCTGCAGATAGTGAAGCCCTAGACATACTGGTTGTAGATAGTGAAGCACTAGACATATTGGCTGTAGATAGTGAAGCACTAGACATATTGGCTGCAGATAGTGAAGCACTAGACATATTGGCTGTAGATAGGTGAAGCACTAGACATACTGGCTGTAGATAAGTGAAGCACTAGACATATTGGCTGTAGATAGGTGAAGCACTAGACATACTGGCTGTAGATAAGTGAAGCACTAGACATACTGGCTGTAGCTAAGTGAAGCACTAGACATACTGGCTGTAGATAAGTGAAGCACTAGACATACTGGCTGTAGATAAGTGAAGCACTAGACATATTGGCTGTAGATAGTGAAGCACTAGACATATTGGCTGCAGATAGTGAAGCACTAGACATACTGGCTGTAGATAGGTGAAGCACTAGACATATTGGCTGTAGATAGTGAAGCACTAGACATATTGGCTGCAGATAGTGAAGCACTAGACATATTGGCTGTAGATAGGTGAAGCACTAGACATACTGGCTGTAGATAAGTGAAGCACTAGACATACTGGCTGTAGATAAGTGAAGCACTAGACATACTGGCTGTAGATAGTGAAGCACTAGAGATATTGGCTGCAGATAGTGAAGCCCTAGACATACTGGTTGTAGATAGTGAAGCACTAGACATATTGGTTGTAGATAGTGAAGCACTAGACATATTGGCTGCAGATAGTGAAGCCCTAGACATATTGGCTGTAGACAGTGAAGCACTAGACATATTGGCTGTAGATAGGTGAAGCACTAGACATATTGGCTGTAGACAGTGAAGCAAGAGACATATTGGCTGTAGATAGTGAAGCACTTGACATACTGACTGTAGAGAGTGAAGCACTAGACATATTGGCTGTAGATAGTGAAGCACTAGACATACTGGCTGTAGATAGTGAAGCACTAGACATATTGGCTGCAGATAGTGAAGCACGAGACATATTGGCTGTAGATAGTGAAGCAAGAGACATATTGGCTGTAGATAGTGAAGCACTAGACATATTGGCTGTAGATAGTGAAGCACTAGACATACTGGTTGTAGAAAATGAAGCTTGTATTTCTTCTACTGTGTTTGCAAGTTCTGTTGTGGTTTACAGCTAGACTGTGTATCTGCGCCTTTTAACCCATCATGCCTCATAAGCCTAATTAGTTATATTTTATGATAACATGCTGTTGTTGTGGGGAAGGGAAGGGAAGGGGGGGGGGGGGGGTGGAATTTGAATCTAGCCCCCCTCCCCAAATGAGACTTGAGATCACACATGAAGAGAAAGTGAAACAATGGGTCAGATTTTACTTTTAAGAAAGAAGTAACAGTAATTTCAAAGAAACAAAGTGCTGAAAGAACATAATGGCAACTTATCGCAATCATCAGAATGAGACAGCCGTCATTTCTGGCCAACACTGTGAGGAAGTGAAAACTGCAAAACTAGATACAAAGAGAGACAGAAGAATACGTTGAGAGAAGATTATCATCTGCCTTCATCATGGCAAGCGAAATGAAACTTGCTGGTGGTGATCACAGAATGAGAGATGTTAAAGTTTTAAAAAAAAACACACATTAGAGATGTTACTGGTGATCATATAATGAGAGATGTTGAAGATACAAAACTGAGACATGTTGTTGGTGATAACAAAATGAGAATCAAGATCAATCACATAATTTGGCACTTGATGATGATGATTATTATGTCACATGACAGATTGCAGCGATAACCGAGAAATCAAAGTGAAAGAGCAGTTGTGCTCAAAATATGTTACCATCAGAGAAAAAAACACATACACATAGCAACAGATTGTGAATGAGCTCGTTTGCACGGATATACATCAAACAGAGACAATATGTAAAGCTTTGTGCGACAGTTGATGAGGCCAATGACAACAAGTGACATCTAGAAAGTGACAGGAATCCATGTAAAGTGACAGTAAGTGAATGTTCAACCTCGCCAGGTTCAGAGACAAGATCTGTGAGAATGCCACCACTGACAATAGCCAGCTGAAAGACCCGTTGCAAGCATTCCATCTGTAGGAAGACACAATCTTATCAAGGAATTTCCAACAGGGACTCAGGCAACAAGTTCATCAACAAAAAATAACTCTTGTGTTCACACTACAACTGAACCAAAGGTCCAATCCACTCAACAAATGTCTCTGTATACTACTCTGGTGTTCACACTACAACTAAACCAAATGTCTGATCCACTCAAGAAATGTCCCTGTATACTACTCTGATGTTCACACTACAACTAAACCAAATGTCTGATCCACTCAAGAAATGTCCCTGTATACTACTCTTGTGTTCATACTACAACTAAACCAAAGGTCCAATCTACTCAACAAATGTACCTTGAGGTCGCACTGCAACTAAACTAAATGCCCAATCTACTTAACAAATGTCCCTATATATTACTCTTGTGTTCACACTACACCTGAACCAAATGTCCAGCCTACTCAACAAACGTTTGGTATACTACTTGTCTTCACACTACAACCGAACTAAATTTCCAATCTACTCAACAAATGTCCCTTGTCTTCACACTTCAACTGAACCAAATGTCACGAAATGTTCAAGTTACTCACTCCAACTGAACTGTATGTTTATAATACTTTACTTCAAGTTACTTAATAAATATATGCCCATGCTGTGACACTAATACATTGTTAACTGTCTAAGCTGCTCAACATATGTATTTCTTGATGTGATTGCCCTGAAATGTTATACACTTTTTGAGGAAGATTCTTCCTAATGGAAACAATCATGGCAATCATGCCTCCCTATTTAGCACAATGCAATAGTCTCACCTGGAAAGTCAGGAAAGGTGACAATATGTTAACACTACTAATTAGTCAACTCAGTCTGAGGCAATAACATGTAATATCACAAGACTGTAGAACCATTATCAGCGAAGGCTCAACCATGGACCTAATTAACATTCAAGACCTAAAATTATTACGGCCTGAAGAGAATGTGGCACCTGGGTGTAACCAGAGGGTCTGACCGGCTCACTACACAGAGGAAAGGCAAGGCAAGACAGACATATAACCAGATTGTGACCGGTACTATCAGCATTGGAACTCTGCGCTGGCTGCTGAAGATAGGGACAGAGAGTGATGTCAATTCTTGACTCAACTCAACTCAACCCAACCCAAGACCTAAAACAGGTGGCAACGAACCATCAGACATGGAGAGCTATGACCTCTGCCCTATGTGTTTGTTGCCTTACACTCAAGAGAAAAGAGTGACTAACTAAAAACTAGCTAGCTAGCTAACTAACAAGGTAACTAACTACCTAACTAACTACAACACTGGCTTAACATTTAAAAACAAAAAAGGTACAGAAAGTAAACAAACAGAAAACCCACCAGTTGTTTGGTCCTCATGTTACTCAGAATTCTTTCAGCATTTTCGCTGTCATGGCGACTCTCCATGATGGCCAGCAACAGTTTTGATGCATTATTCTAGCAAGGACAATTAATACTCAAATTACAATCTGGCACAATAAGACTGGAAAATATGGACAATTTGTAAACTAG